TTGGAGCAATTCGAGTCATCGCTTTCTTTGCCACCTGACCCCCTGGGAGTGGCTTGGTCATTTGAGAAGTTTGCTGTCCGACCAACGCGTGTTGAGAGATGTTTTGGGATTTCACCTCAACTTGAATATGGAGGACACCGGCCTCCAACTTGTGCTTGGCAACCGTACAACATGTCGGATTTGAGTGGCAGGGCTGTGTGAGGTTGGTCTAAAGATGTCTCCAAAATCAGCTTCTCAAGCTCGTGATGGTCGCTATCAACAGCTGTTGGAAGTTGAGGACTTTTTGAACTCGTGGTTTTTGAGGGATTACCACCTTTTGGAACAGCGCCCGGGTGCTTGTAGCCAAAAAATGTGGACTGGCACGTGTGGCTGCATTATGGCTGCATGGGCCTGTTTTTTCAGGCAACATGGAATGGTGAAGGCCTGGATTTGCATGCCCTCCGTCCAAGAAATATGGAAGTGGACCTCGTCCCTGCTTGTAGATGGAAGAAGCCTTTCAAGGATTTTCAAGGGTGTCCACTTCGATGGTTTTTTGTCACATTCCGACCGTAAAGCAACGGATAGCAACGGTGGCTTGGCAAGCACCAGACAACACCAAACTGCTCCGGCACATACTGTAATATATACACCGGCGGGAGTCATGGTAAGTATATAGTAATATATATATATATGGCCTGTTTTCCTTTTGGTTGGTTTGTTGGCTAGGCACAACCAGTCGGTGGAGGCCTTCAGATGTGCACAACCAGTCGGTGGTGACACCAAACCATCGCCCGTGTCGCGGCAGGCCGTGCTGCAGCGCTGACGGGGGAACAAACCAAGAGTGGTGAGGATTTGGCGTTTGAGGCCGTGGATGGCGTTTATATTATGCAGAATGTATGATTATACTATTAATATATATATATATATTATTTTGTTTTTATCATATCAGTGCTCATATATATATATATATATTATGCTTTATTTTAATATTACTTTGGGCACTAACAAGCACGGCACACAGTACATATCAGATTTGTATACTGTATATTCGTTATAACAGTGGGAACTTGTGGATCCGTGGGTATTAAAATATATACTTTTAAAAAGACCAGATAAAGAAGACCACCTTTATCACCACTCTTCGGGCCAGGCCCAGGAGGCGTGGTGGTTTCCACGTTTCGAATTCGTTCCAAGTTTCGACCTCCAGGGGGCCCGTCGCCGTTCGCCCGTCTGGTCTCCAGTGTCCTAGGTTGAGACCTTAAGGACCTGCTGGTCTCTTAGGTTTTGGAGTGTGTTCCTGATGGTTGCTTGGCCTTTAAGAACATCTTCAGTCTTGGTGAGGACAACGTTCGCTCTTTTTAGCTGGGATCTCTCAAGCCAGAATTGAGTGGAACCAGTGGCACCAGGGCCCCCTATAGGTATGGAAAGAATTGGCTGGGGAGGCAGTGCAAGACGAGCGCTGTGCTTTTTTCCCCTGGCAGCCTACCTTGCCATGGATGTGGTGGGGCTGGGCTTAGAGGGCAGGATCGCCACGCCTGCGTACGTGCCAACGATTCTGCAAGCTTGAAACAAAAAGTCCGCCACGGGCACGGATCTATTTGAGAGTGATGTTATTTGCCGTTGTGGGGGAGGGGCCGTGTATCAGCATTTGTCGCCAAAAAGATGCTGTACAGAGGAAATGCCAGGAAGCATGTGGAAAGATAGAGTTCGGACTATAGCGACACTCTCCCATTTGGGTTGTTTTGGATTGATTGGCCTCACAAGTCATTCACATAGGTGGCAATGATGCACCAGTGATGCCGCTTATTATCAAGACAGGTCTCAGACCATACATGGGACTGAAAATGCTGAAAGAGATCATTTAAGGTCATATATACTAGATATGCTCACATGGACGAGTCATACAGGTTGGTAAATCATTCCAGTCCCATGTCATGATCGGGGAGTGGACCGTGGCTGACGGCTGTGGACGTCCGTTGATCCGCACGTCCCAAGGTCCTTCGGGAGCTTCCACCTTTGCAAGCTGCCGGAAGCTCTCAGATCACGATTTCGACCTCCAGTCGGAGTTGGCTTTGGGGCTGGTAAAAAGCCGAAAGGGGGTGGAGGAATGACACAGCGTGGCCTCCAGATTTCGAGCCTCGTCGTCCTTGGGACATCTTTGAGAACCTGACCCAAAGACGGTCCAACGGTCGTAGAAGACAACCCCTGCCCTAAACCACATCAATCGCACCGGCCGCCTTCGTCCAGCGCGACACTTGCTGCAACTGCCTTTTCCCCCTGCAAACGACCTTCCTTCGCGTCAAGCGCCCCTCCATGCGCTCCGCGGCGGCGCGTCAAGCGCCCCTCCGCCACCTCGTCTTGCTCGTCTCGCTCGCTCCACTGCTCCACCGTTCCGAGGGAATGGAGCTCGGAGACCTGGCGGCCTTGGAAATGGAACTCACCAAGTGGCGTGGCCAGGTCCGGTGGATGTCCACCGACCGTCAACGGGACGACCTTCAAAGGGGGAGCAGGAGGAGGAGGAGCGAGGAGCGAGGTTCTGGGGTGTTTTTTTTCGGGTCGAAAGAGGGTTCGGCAAAAGAAGGACTGAGAGGAGGAGGGAGGGGAAGGTGTAGGCGTAGGCGTGGGTGTTCTTTTTTAGGGGGTGAAATCACTCAAGAGATGTGCTTAACTTATATTGTATTTTCTTGATGGGTTTGGGACGTGGGAGTGTTTTCATTGACAGAAGAAGTCTGGGAGGTTCGGGAGTTGATATCCAGACACCTGCTTAGTCCATGGGACTGGTATATCTACCTGCTTTGGGCGTGGTTGATCGGTTGTTTCAAGCATACCCAGACACGACCCATGGGACTGCCATAGGACTGCCGATCAATTGGGGTGGTTTGGGAGGTCAAAGGGGCGGCATATATGGCAGTCCCATGGGCAGTCCCATGGAGTGTATGGCAGTGCCACGCTACTAGTAACAAGTGCCACGCTAGTAGTAACAGGTGCCTTACTAGTAGTAACATGTAGTAACAAAAAGCTATTAGAAACAAGTCACTAAGTGCCTTACTAGTAGGAACAAGTGCCTTACTACTAGTAACAATAAGAATATTCCAGTTCCATCAGTGGTGGGACAGTCGAGACGACACGGAGACGACAGGGAGACGACCCGTTGCCACCGCCTTGTTGCTCTCCTTGGGTACGAGCCGTCGTAAACCCACGACAGAACAGTGAATATAGGAGACATGTTTATATTAATGTAAAAGCATCAGCCTTTTCACTAGGAATGTGGATTATTGATTCCTTTTCTTTTTTCAACGTGTTTGTTTCCATTTGGATCTCTTTGCCGTAAGGTAAGGCCGTAGGGATTCAACCGCTTGAGCGCTGAAACCCGCACACCTGGGCCAGGTTCTGTCCGAGAGATTTGGAGACTGCAAAGGTGTGGTGGAAGCAGTGGCCAGCGTCTCAGTCAGAAGGTATGACCTCTCTGTGGTGGTTTCAGAGATATGTGCAGCCTTTTCTGGGGGGATGATTAGATGATTAGGCTCAATGACGCACATTTGTCAAGTAGGGTAAGACCGCCTATCAGTTCTTGAACGAAGACTACAACGGCTGTTTGTATGTGTTATGTGTATATATAATTGTATGTTTCTCTCTCTCTCTCTATATATATATATACATATTTACTGTATAGTATTTGTGTATCGCTCCATTATTTTTCTCCTTTGGGCTGTTGATAGGGCATTCCATCTCCTGAACCTCGTATGCCGAGGCGCACCAGCATTTGCTTGTCTTTGAGAGCACCTCAGTTTCAGTTGCCTTTCGCCTTTCTCCCTTCCCGCGGTCAAGGTGAACATGGCCAAAGAACGATTGGTGACCTGGCGCGCAGTTGACCACACGTGGAAGGCGCGTCTCTGGATGTGCCGCGCGCCTACTCGCATAGGGTGAGACAGAGACTGCTTTGGGACTATGTTAAGAGTAGTAAGGCCAGGAGCTACTAGTAGCGTCCTTGCTCCTAGTAGCGATGCCAGGAGCCCCTAGTAGCTTCTTGCTCCTAGTAGCCTTTGGGTGGCTGTTGGTGAGGAGGCTACAAGGCAGTCCCTTTGATTGGGATTGTTCTTGCAGTATGCGGATAGGGCATAGGAACGGAGGTGTGATCATCCTGCGCCAAGAGGCGGCAGATTGTATGGACACAGTCGATTAGATACTGACAAGTCAGAACCGATGACATGACAGCTGACAAGGCATCAAAAGTTTGAGCACTCTGAAGATGTGTGGATTCCAAGGCAGAACAAACAAAGTGGTTCTTGAAATGTATTGAAACTTCGTGCAATGATATTTCAAAGGCAGTCGTTCAGCACCAGCCAGGAAGTCATTCGCGAAGTGGAGCGCATCCCTGGAAGCTTGTCCACCTTGACAAATCAGCGTGCTCCTCAATTGGACCTTGGATTGGTATCCTTCTGAATACGTATGTCCTTGTGAGCATCCTCCCTGCACCAGGAAGGCCATTACGTAGAAGGCTACCGAGCCAGGCTACACACCTATGCTGCAAGGCTTATGAAACAGCACAGCACAGCTTATGTGGCGGGTTTGTGGTGTTCCTGCTGTTCCTCGCATGTGGTGTCCCAACAGAGGGCGAACATATGTCACAAACCCTCTGGGTTTTGATGTGTTTTGTTCTTTCTATTCTTTTTTTCTGACGAGTTACTCGCCAATCCGAGCCTGAACATCACACATCACGCCTTTCAAGGCTCCGCGCGGACCCGGCGCGGACCCCGCGCGGACTCCGCGGCCGCTCTGGCGTCGCGACCGAGGTGCCAACGGCTCTTCCGAGCCTTGAAGGAGGCGCAGCTCACGAAGCCAGGGAACTCAGCCGAGCGGTGCGAGCCGAGACGGAGCCCGAACTGGTCGGGGACGGTGGAGCTCAACTGATCCCGAACATGACAACTCCTTTCAGGATGAAGAAAGTGCCGTTTCAGCCACAAATCCCTCATCATTTGGGTCCATGAAACTGATGGTTTTTGTCAAAAACCATCAGTTTCATGGACCCAGATGATGAGGGAGGATTTTGCGATGAATGGCCAGACCAGTGGACGACCGTTGGGTTTCGGCGAGGGGACTGAGGAAATACACAAACGACCAAATGTCTTGATATACCTGTAACGCTCAAATGAGTTCTTTCTGATTTGAACTCGTGCAGTAGAATTGCATATATTTGCAATTGTTAGATATGTTAGCTCCACTGGGTGTACTTGGACGTGTGTATATCTTCACGAGCTGAAGATTAGATTCTAGACTCCTATTCTTGGTTTGTCCTTGTGGATCCGCAGAATCGAGTTGAGCCTTTTTCACAGAGACTGCGGCGCAGATTCGTGTTTTTCACAGAGACTTTTGCCGTGTGCCTTTGTGGTACATCTTCCTGGGAGGGACAAGACTGTGGGCCATATGTGACAGCGCAGGTCACATGCAGCAACCAAGTCAAAAAAGCAGCACTCTCACCTTTTGGCTTCAGCTTGACTGACTGTATTTTGATTTTAGGATGTGGAGTCCATAAGGAGTTTAGGATCAAGGAGTTCCAATGGGAAAGGTGTTTGGTGTTTGGATTCTATGTTTCTATGTTTTGCTAGGCTGATGCCCTAGAATTCAGCAGTGAATTCAGCTGATAGATAATGATAGATAGATAGATAGATAGATAGATAGATAGATAGATAGATAGAT